TGGGGGCTGTGTGCGCGTCCCCTCGCCCGCTCCTGCTGCGCCTGCTCCCCCAGGCCGGGAGGGAGAAGGTGTCGCGGGCCTTGCTGGTGTGCCGCCAGCTCCCGCTCCTCTTCATCTCCCTCCTGGGCGGGAGGCTCTGGTGGTGCTGCACCCGATCCCTCGCCCCACTCTGCCATCCTCCAAATACTTTACATCTGCATCCCTTTAATAAAAGTCATTCCTCCGAATATTTAACATCTGCATTTCTTCAGCAGAGAGCTTTATCTCAAGCTGTTGTCGCTGCTTGGCGTCGGTGGCAGCTGTGCTGCTCCTAGCAAGCGCAGGGATGGGTCTCAGCTCCGGCACCAAGTCTGTGAGATGCAGGACCTGGCTGAAGAGCCGTGGTTTCTGTCATCGGTGGTGGAGACCGGCGTGGGTAGGTGGGGGCATCAGGACTGCCGTGTTCTTGGCTGCTGGCTGGAGTGACTTTGCCCCAACTCTTGAACCTGTCTTGCCTTCCAGTCCTCACCCTAAGAATGGGTGTCACGCTCATGTGGTGGCCAGCGGACTGTGGTGGGAGCTCCCGAAGCCCTGCGCGCTGAAGCCACCCCCCCCAGCCCGCAGACCGTGATGGGTGCTGACAGGGCACGGCGGCCGCTCGTCCAGGGCTGCCTTGCCTTTATCAGCTCGCTTGCTGCTTGGGCTCTTTTCCTGGCCTGTCCCTTCACCAGCAGAAATGCGGAAAAACCAGTTCTGTGGTTAATTGCTGCACTTCCCTCCACGCCCATGGGGCAGGTCTCCTCCTCCTCACCCACAGCCTGGGTGCTCTTCAGCCTCCAGTCTCTTCATCCCTGCCTGCGCTGAGCTGGACCAGGTGTGCCGTCAGGCCTCCGCGCTCCTTCCATTAACCTTACGGCTTCTCCCGCCTTCTCCTTTTTCCTCCGTCTGCAAGAGCTTCTGGCTCTCCGCTGGCTCCTTCTCCCTTGGGCAGCCCAGCTGGGTGGCCTGCAGGTGCAGAAGGCGTAGGCAGCCCTGCCCTGCCCGGAGGGATCGCATCTGGACGCCATGGCTGGAGGAAACGACAGGAGCGTGAAGGCCCTGAAGGAGGTGTGGAGAAGAGCGGAAAACTCTCTGTGCGCAGACTGCGGGAAGCCAGGTGAGTCCCTGCGGGCTGCTGGAGGAAGAGTTGGAAGCGGGGAGCCGGGGCTATCTGACTGCACAGGAGCCTGGGGCAGGGAGGGAGGAGAGCCAACGGCTCGCCCTGGATGTTCGCTTCCTCTCCCTGGAGGTGAGTTGGCGAGGGAGGAGGAAGGAGATGCTGCTGCAGCGCTGGTGGGAAGAAGGACAGGGACGCAGTCGTGCCAGACGAGCAGGGGCTGCGTAGCTGCGGCACTGTGGGTTGCAGTCATGTCAGATCTGAAATGCAAATCGAGGTCGTGCCCAGTCAGGACCTGACAGGAAAGCTCCTGGTGAAATCCTAACCGCTCCGGGAAGAAGGCATGATTCAGGAGGGCATTGTCTCCTCCGTGACTCAGCTAGGAACTGACAACCTGCCACGGGCGCCTCGGAGATTTCTTTAACTCAAAGGCTTGCCCCCTCGAAAGGGTATCCAGTTTGAGGTTCTACAGGTGCTGCTGAAAACACCCATCCGTACTCTTCCCAAAAGGGGCACGTGGGGTGTAGATGTACCGCCCAAGCCAAATTAAGACTGGCTAATTAGTACCATTTTACCTTCTTAAATTCTCCCTGGAGAATTTTGGATTCAAGGCCGCTTTCCAATTCCTGAGCTAAATACTGTTGGGGGTTTGCTGTGTTGCACTAAACAGCTCCTGGAGTCTTTTCCCAGAGCTGGTTTCAGTTTCATCTTGGGTGACCCCCTATGCCAAGGGAATTAGCAAAGCACTTCGGAGTTTTTCAAGGTTCAGGTCAACAGAGATTCAGATGAAGTGGTCAAAGCACAGGGAATGAGGGAATAATAGCTGCGCTTTTTCCTGCCTGTACCTCGGATGTTAATTGATCAGCTCAGATGAAACTGTGGTCACCCAGCTCTCTGTTTCTCCGGGCTATGTTCTCAGTTGAGGCATGTCTTCCAGGGCAATCTACCACCTCTAGTCATACCCTTCTTTATACCCTCAGATCCTGACTGGGCATCCTCTACCTTGGGTGTCTTTATATGCCTCAGCTGCTCAGGAATTCACCGCAACATCCCTAGCATCAGCAAAGTCAAGTCCCTGAAGATGGACTACTGGGACGATGCTCAGGTGCAGGTGAGACCTTTACCCCCAGGTGTGTTGGGTCTGGGCCATACACTAGCAAGTCCTGGGAAAATCAGCCCTTTGGCCTCACAGAGTTGGAGATTTAGTCTGATACATAGTCCCTTTGCTACTCGTGCTCTGGGTACTTAAGCGAGGATAACTCCCCATAATGCACTGGCAGAGGGATGATGCACTTGCCTTATGTGTCTCCCCGTGTCCTATTACTTTCTGGCAAATGCAGAGCTCTTGCAATGTATCTTGCCAAGGCTCAGGGTCTTCTTCACTCCACATTACTCATTTCCCACTCACCAGAACCATCAAGACTCAGTGTCTCTTGGGTTCAGCATCATGAGGGGAAA